TTTGAGTGGTTGTAAAGCACTAATTTTATTTTAAAATATTTATCCTTAGGTACTATTTAAACAACACTTGCTTAGCCTAATCGCAAACACAAAATACTATTCAATAAACTATTTGTTCTAATAACAGAATTTGATCTGTTGAGAGTTTTGCCATCGTGTGCTCCATAAAACCTCGACACCAACAACAACAGTATTATAAGCGTTTCGTGTGGGATTTTAGACTCTTATCTTAAAACACTCCAACGATCAAATCTGCTGTAATACAAAATTCTGTTCAAAGTATTTTGAACACAAGGTATTGGTTTTTTAACCTAAAAAAGGAAAATATGTCTAATCATTCCGCGATTTGTTACACATAAAAACATTTTTTTTTTATTTCCTTGTTTCATCTTTTTATAGCTGTCCTCAGGAAAATGCGATATTGTTGGGTAAAACGTTGCGAATATCGGCCATACGCAATCGAAAGGGTTTAATTCTGCTGAAGTATGGTGTATCTGTTTATTTAGCTGAGAAATTATTCAAACATATTATAATAAAGGTCAAACCAATTATTTCACAGAGATAAATAACTCTGTGACCAATTTTGATCACGTCGTCGAGAGATATCACTGTCCTAACATATTTCCATTCTTTTATCAAGTTCAAAGATGAGACCCATTGGCCCACTCAAAAGACAATTTCAATATTTTGTAAATCGAATATCAGGAAAATGGAATGTCCGACCTATTTTTTTTACCAAGCTTAGATCAAGTCCGAAGATGGGACCAATTCCTTCGGGTTTCTCCCCCACAAATGGTCAACATTTTTAATCTTTATAAATCCAGTATTAGGCGAATGATAATATCTATATTTGAACTAAATATCTGATTTGAACTAAACTCCCCCACAAAGGGTCAATATTTAGTTATCTTGTTAATTTAATTTGAAGCCAATTGAATGACCGATTTGATGAATATTAAATCCGAAATATCTTTAATAAAACATATACCTTATATAAAGCGAATAATAAAGCATGTGTGTAATTCGGAAGACCTCCGCAAACAATAGGCTGGTTGTATATATCTGTCGGCAACACTGATGGACGTTTTACTTGTTGAAAGTAAAGATTGTACAGATCAATATCATCTAACTTCGACCATAAAGACCATTAATCATCTCTAGCTAGCGTCCATTCATTCACCGTAGCTTTGGATCAGAAGGGTGTTATCTAAAACCCCTAACTGAAGCATAAACGTCACTAAAACGTTATACCGAGCTCCAGATTACACTGAGGTAGAAATGTAGAAATTTCAAAGAATAAGGAGAATTGGCTCCCTGATCGGCTTTCATATTTTCGCATAACTAACTTGTAACTAACTTATCACGTCGACCCAAAAATGCTTTCGCGTTGTTGAAGTAGTACATATCGTTCCAATTTTATGTACCACACTGTGGTACAGGATATTATGTGTTTGCGCATCCGTTTGTAAAGTTAAAAGGAATCGAGATAAACCCATAATTACCTTGAGGTAATACATATCACCAACTTAGTGTAAACAAAGTCCAATTTGCATTTACGATCCAAATTTAATGAATTTTGGAAAATCTCAGGGTCCAAGACGAACCTTGTTGAATAAGTTAAAATCGGTTCAGAATATGCACAATAGTTCATTAATATATGCCCGATTGAGACGGCGAATTGTGTCACAGCGTACACGATTTAACCTAGAATGCTGTGTATTAAGTTTTGTCAAACTCGGGTTAAATTTTTATAAAGCTTCCATATATATTTTCGTCCGATTTGATGTAAATGATGAAACGAACAACCAAGGTTCGCCAAATTGAGACTATATTTTCCACAAAGTATAGATTTGAGTCTAAAATAATTGATATGGATTTACTAATACAGCCTTTTTAGTTGTCAGAGTATATATGTCAGGCCACTGTATATTTTATTTTAAAAAAACAACATTTAAGAGTATATATGAATACTGGGATATAATATTTACATAGGATTATCTGACAAATTGAAAATCGTAATACACCGCTTCACATTTCAATATAATTGAAGATCTTGATTATTTATAAAAATTAAACAAAAAAAGTATTGCATTTAAAATTAACCCAAAATGTTGTGCATTTATTTTTTAATGGTTTTTATTTTTATTTGTTTATAATTTTGTTATTATAATTTTGCCAAACATCTCATAAATATCTGTAAAATATAAGTGAATTTGAAAATATATTATTAAAAACAATTATTATTTATTTCAAATTGATGTAAATTACAGTCAATTTTAATACTCATCAGAATGCGCTCTGTCTTTTTTTTTCGTGGGAATATCATTAATATTATTTACAAACTTTGGCAAAAAGTGGAGATTTTATAAAATACAACTAAAGAGATTTAGAAAATTCTTGGCGGTTTTCTGTATTTGTAATACCTCCGGAATATAGTAGCTTCTTTAATTAATGTTAAAGACAATTAAAATAATACAATAAAATAATAGCAGAAAATTTTAAAATATATTTTAATGTTATATTTAACATGTGGAAAAGCGTTAAGGCCGGGCCGAGCTTTGGGTGCCCTCCACCATAGGTATACTGACAGATACTTGAAATTAAAATATAGGGAACATACCAAAAAGTGAACCTATACCGATAATTCTACAAACCAGTTTATGTAAACCATTTTGTACACCAAATACAAAGTTCAGCAAATTTTAATGAAAACCCTAAAGCGTGGACTGATTAGTGATTAGGGATACGGAGTCGATTGCAAAAGTCGACTTTTCGATTTTTGCCTTTGAGTAAAAAGTCGACTTTTCGATCCTTCAATTTTGTCAAAACTGTTCAAAATCGATTTTCGAATTTTACTGACTTTTGCAAAATCTACTAAAAATTTAATTTTTTATACCAATTATTGTGAACAGATAATGTAAAGTTCCGGAAAGTGCAATTTTTGGGCAATTTGAGCTATGTGATAAAAAAATCTAGTATTTTTGAAGAAAATCAAAAGTCGATCTTGAAAAGTCGACTTTACGATTTCCTCATAGATCACAAGTTGACTTCGACTTTTAGACTTTTCAATGCAAAAAGTCGATTAATCGATTAGTCGAAAGTCGATTTACTTATGACTAGGACTGATACTAACAACGCATGGTAGAATATACAATCCTCAAACTTCTGCAATTTAGATTACCAAGTTAGATTACATACTGTAGGAATTAGAAAATATTTGGGGTTATAGTTATATGAGGCTATGCCTAATTAATGTCAATTTCGAACCCAATATTTTTGTTTTGTGTCCCAATTCTTTCATTCAGGAGGTATAATTATATGGGGAGATAGATGCCTAAGTGCTGGCCGATATATTATACATTATCGTCTGGTTCGAGTTTTTTATCACGATTTCCCTGGAAAGCGGAATGATTGCAACCGATGGCTAAACCGTCTTCGAATTCCATAATTTATAGGGTAAAACTGACTATTTCGAGTAATGAAATGGTAGAATACGCCTATATGGGGACAACCCCTACACACTGAACTAATCAGCAAACTATTTTAATATAAGAAGGGGATTATATGGGAACTACCCCCAAAAAGGGGGCGAAGATTAATAATTTTTGGTAGGCAAATGTGTTACCATATGCGTCTACAAATTACCAAATTACAGCGAATTCGGTTGAAAAACGCGCTCAAGAACCCCAAAATACCGAAAATTAAGGCTGTCATATATGGGGGCAACCCGAAAAAATAGGCATATATTTATAATTTTTAGTGAATAAATTTGGTACCCAATAAGAACCCATTGTACAAAATTTCTGCGAATTCCGTTTAAAAAGGAGCTTAAAAATGCTCCAAACTCCCCAATATAAAATAATATATTGGGGAGTACCGTTATATGGGGGCTACCAGAAAAAGTGGACCGATATTTCAGCGGATTCGGTTGTGGGGGCCACCCGAAAAAACTGCCTATATTTATAATTTTTAGTGGAGAAATTTGATACCCAATAAGAACCCATTGTACCAAATCTCAAAATACTGTATATTAGGGGGTACCGTTATATGTAGGCTACCAGAAAAAGTAGACCTATATTTATATTTGTAGTGGAGCTATTTGGTACCCAAAAAGAACCCAATGTACCAACTTTCAGCGAATTCCGTTGAAAACGCGCTCAAGAACCCCAAAATACCGAAAATTGGGGGTCCCTTATATGGGGGCTACCCGAAAAAATGGACATATAATTGTAATTTTTAGTGGAGACATTTGGTACGCAAAAAAAACCCAATGTTCCAAATTTCAGCGAATTCGTTTAAAAAGCGCGCTCAAGAACCCCAAAATATCGAAAATTATACGGTACATTTATATGGGGGCTATGCCTAAACGTTGACCGATATAGCCCATCATCGAACTTGACCTGTATGCAGACAAAAGACGACTCTATGCAAAATTTTGGCCATCTATCTCAATTCCTTCAGATGATAGCGTGATTACAAAAAAGGAATTTTCTTAGAATTTTAACCTGATCAAGTATATATATATATATATATATATATATACAAACGAATATATGGAGTTACAAACGGAATGAATAATTAATAAGTTACATACTATGGTGGAGGGTATAAAAATAAATATAGAAAGTGATCATAAAAAATATGTTGGGAACGAAATTTATTTCAATAACATTTCCCTGAATAAGCCATTCCTAGACCGTTTAATTGTTTATGGCTGAAATAGAATCGCCTTATGCACTAGTTCTCTTGTTACATGGAGACAGAAACTGAGTACCCCCACAAATCTCTTTGTAACATAGGATTTTCTATGAAAAAAAATCTATATTAAAAAAGTTTGTCATAAAAACCCACTTCGACAAAACTCAAAAATTTACAACAATTTGAACATCAAACTATAATTTTTTTTTAATTTTTATTTTCAAAAATATTTATTTATAATATTCAAAGAAAAAACCAACCCATACAATTTAAAACATAATCGTAGAGTGTGCGAATTTCAGGAGTACGCAAAACTTCACAAATAATTCGGAGCCACAGAGCATGAATTCGGGCATCGAACATGCCGCCCTCATGGTGTCTGAGGAGAAAACCCAACATGATTCACGTAAGAAATTAATACTTAAATGTCATAATTAAACGTTCTCGTACTAAAATACAAACATAAACACCCACCCACCCACACACAAACAAACACACATTTACAATATAAATGTATAACGTCTATCACAAATGTAATAATGTTTTAATTTTTTGTTTTACCATAAAATATATAAAATTATTATTTTTTATTTATTCAACAACAACAACGATAACTAATATAATTAATTATTTAATAAATACAGTAAACATAAGGGTTGAATGAACAAATTATTGAAAATTACAACAAATATATAAACGAATAATTTTTTCACTCGACCTTAGCAAAATTTAAATTAGAAATTTACTACTAAAGTATTTGGCATCCATAAAGTGTGATATTATTTATTTTGTTTACAATTTTATAATTTCATTTATAAATTAAAAAAATATATTATATAATTTAATTTGAATACAATATACACTATACACCTCAACTACCAATGAACACTGAAAACTTAAATCCCCATAGATTTACCCATCATTCATAATCACCCATCCATCTACTCCGATCTACCCATATTCACATTTCTCATGTCATATTTAACACAGATTCTAAAATATTATATATAATCATCATGCATTCATTTTATCTACTCCTATATTATTTGTTTAATTCCGTAAAAAATTAAATTTATATTGTCAATATTGTATGTTTGATTGTAAAAGGTTTGGAAATGATTACCATTACTGTTCATAAAATAATAAAAATAGAAAATAAAATAAACAAGTGAAAAAGCGTTAAGTTCGGCCGGGCCGAACTTTGGATACCCTCCACCATAGATATACTGACAGGTACTAGAAATGAAAATATAGGGAACATACCAAAAAGTGGACCTATACCAACATTTCTAAAAACGGATTATGTATACCTTAATACAAATTTCAGAAATTTATTTATAATGGATAATTATACCCTCAGCATTATGGCTAATGAGGGTGTATACACTTTAACACGTTGAAAATGTGCCTGAATGTGGTTCCAGACCCCATGTTTCTTTGGACCAAATCCGTTTCAAAAAATTTATATTTCATCCAAACTTTGCTCATCTTATTATTTCTCCAAACTTAGTTCAAATTCGAAGATGGGGAAAATCGGTCCACTCCTTCTGGAACCTCCACACAGAGACTAGGTCTAAATGCGGCTATAGTTCATTATAGAACCTTACGTTCTAATTTTTTATATCGCTATCCTCCGCAGGTGAAATGATTACAACAGAGTCTTAGAACCAAACTCAAAACGTGGAACAAATCAGAACCCCAAAATATCGACAATTGAGGGTACCCTTATATGGGGGCTATGCGAAAAAATTGACCTATACTTATAATTTTTTGTGGAGAGATTTGCTACGCAATAAGAACTCAAAGTACCAAATTTCAGCGAATTCGGTTGAAAAACGCGCTCAAGAACCCCAAAATACCGAAAATTGGGGGTACCCTTATATGGGGGCTATCCGAAAAAATTGACCTATACTTTTAATTTTTTGTGGAGAGATTTGCTACGCAATAAGAACTCAAAGTACCCAATTTCAGCGAATTCGATTGAAAAACGCGGTCAGGAACCCTAAAATACCGAAATTTGGGGGGTACCCTTATATGGGGGCTACCCGAAAAAATTGAACTATATTTATAATTTTTAGTATAGAGATTTGCTAACCAATAATAACTCTAAGTACCGAGTTTCAGCTAATTTGGTCGAAAAATGCGATCAAACCCCCCAAAATACCGCAAAATTAGGGGTACCCCTATATGGGGGCTAGGTATGCCATATTTATAATTTTTAGTGGAGGATTTGCTACCCAATAAGAATCGACGTACCAAATTTCAGCGACTTTGGTTGAAAAACGACAAGAACCCCAACATACTGAAAATTTTGGGGTACCCTTATATGGGAGGTATGCCTCGTTTAGACGCTAGAGTGATTACAACAGACAGACGGACATGCTTAGATCGTCATAGAATTTTACGCTGATCAAGAATATATATATTTTATAGGGTCGGAAATGATTATTTCGATGCGTTACAAAAAAAAAAACAAAACTAAAAATAATAATAATAATAATCTTTTGTATTTTTTACACACAAATTACTCTCAAAAAGAGCACGCGTTTGGAGGTTTGGCTGGTGCTACACATTTAATTAAATATCCCACTTTTTAGAGTAACCCGCATAATGTCATGCGCAAAATTTCAGTATTTTGGGGACTTTTTATATCCTTCAACTTACTTTTATACCCTTCACCTTTTTAATAATATACATAGAATTACTTTCTGTGTCGCTTTATGCATCTCCGTCCGTCTGTTGATATAAAATTGTAAACAAAGTACAGGTCGCATTTATTATCCGAATGAGTCCTTATATATATTTTGTTCCAATTTTATGTAAATGATGCACCAAATTCCGTACTTTAATCCAATTGAGAGGAAATTTTGCATAGCGTATTGAATTGAGTCTTGAATGAAGTGTGTTAGCTTATTTTGAAATCGGATCAGATATAGATATAGCTCCCATAAATATTTTCGGCCCATTTTATGTAAACGGTACAACCAAGAACCTATGCTTGTTCGAAATTTGGCATAACGTAATGGATTGAGTTTAGAAGGGCGTGTGTTATGTTTTGTTGAAATCGGTTCAAATTTAGATATAGATCCCAAGTATATTTTCGTTCGATATTATGAAAATGTTGCACCAATGAGCCTATGTTTGTACGCTTTACTCGAAATAGATTTATAGTAGTAGTTTTGTTTAGTTGAACCTAGAATACAAATGGTACACCATAGGCTTGGTTCAATTGGCTTGCAATTTTGCTTGGGTTTCAGAATGATATTTGTTTGATTTGATTTCAATTGGTTCATATATCTCTGAAGATCACATATTTAATTTTGCCCGATTCCATGTCAATGGTCCTCCAATTATACTATGTCTGTTCTATGTTCTACCCAAAGTGGTGATGGGTATCATATAGTCGGCCCCATCCGACTTTTGAGCTTTCCTTACTGGTTTTAACTGAATCAAGTTTAATTTGATATTTCTTATTGGAAGTTCCTACCAAACCAATAAATATCGGTCCAATATCGGTTTTAGTATAAGTTCCATTGTAGTATATCTTCCAGTCATTGTAGTATATCTTCCAGTCCCACTATTAGTATTTTGATGGGCGGAACTTTTGCCCATGTTTATACATAACCCTTATACAAAGGTCACGTATTATCTTCGGTATATTGAAGGTCCTTTCTCAATTTTAAGAGAAAGTATTTTCGAACCGAATTGAACAAAATTTTTCAAAGTATTCCCCAGCATGATTATTCAACCAATTGTCGAAGCTTCTTTTCTACTCCGATTTAAACACATAGTTTTTGAACGCTTCAACAGGACCATCTGGTGACGAAAATTGTTGACAATACGATTGAACTTGATTTGCGGGAATAAAAAGGTCTCATTTGGAATTAACTTAGGGCTATTCATCGGATAACTCTTTAATGTCACGTTTTAGTGGATCAAAAGGTAGGACGCTAAATTATTAACTTCTAAACCAACTGATATATGTTGCTTACATTTTTCAAAAACAAAGCCTATACCTGTAGGAAATAATGGCCATAATATGGACTAGATCGGATCATATATTTCTAATCCTTCCATATAAGGTTACGACCCGATTTTCAGTATTTTTAGGATTTTTGACACGTTTTTCAACGAAATTGGCTATGGAGTACAAAATAACCCCACTAAACATGGGCTACCAATTTGCAGGGTAACCCCCACAAATGTAGGTATATCGAGGATTATGTTACTGCAAAAACGTGGAAATCAAAAGGGAACTAAATAACTAATGGACACCAAAAAAGCAGTGATTTCGAAATCTGAGTAATAAAAGTGTCCGTAATCGATGTAATGAATTTTTTTACTTTCCCGTCTCTAAATCGTTTCCTCAAGGGAAACAGCATATAGTTACCGAAGAAATTGGGCCCATTTGCTTTGAAGTGTTTTTTATTACGATCAAGTTTCGTTGTATTTGGTTCGCCTTCATAGAAAAACACGTATCCCAGCATAATACGACGATTGCCATTTCGGTTCAAATAAAAATGTAGGTGCCATATATATATTCTCCGATTTAATGGAAATGTGGTACTGATCATGGCCCTTTTTACCGATTGATACGAAATATTACACTCCGAGTTGAGCCTAGAATGACGTTTGGACGGAGTTGGGATATGCTTTTGAGGTTTAAAGCCCTTGATCAGTATATTAAGAACGTAAAAGAGCAGATTCCCCATAAAACATAGTTTCTGAATTATGGCGTAATGATTTTTGTTATTGAATTAATCGCGAGATATATTTGTTTGTCTTCAGTCAAATCGAATGAGGAATAAATATTTTTAAACATTTGTCCTTTTAAGTCGATTCCTTATGAGTCCTTTGCTCCCTTGATTGCGTAAGTCATGAAGTAATTACCCCAAGACGATTTTAGAAAGAGGTCTCAAAGACATGCAAACGATATTTGTATGTTTCATTGTTATTTTCCATTTTTTCCCGATTCTGAGCGTAAACCCTAAAAATAAAATAACCTGCAAAAACTAAACTTTTGTACTTCCGATTTCTTAATATACTCACTAGGGTATTTTATCCCCATTGAGAATTTTTCACCCCCATAAACCATGATCTCAATTTTGTTGGATAGTGTTGTTTACATAAGGTTTGTCTTTTTTAAAAAATGAACCTCCCAAACATTGAGCGTAAATTCCATGCCCAGTGTAATATGAGGGCCATAAAGTCTATTTTATGTACACACGAACCCTGTATCATTCGCTTAATATCAGCTGAACTCGTTACAATATTGTTGCCCTTTAATGGTAATTTAATTTCCAAACCTTTCATATCTAAAAAATACTAATTAAATTATTAATTATTTTTTATTGAAATAGAATTAAAATTATTCTTTTATAAAATACAAACGTCATAGACATATTTAGTACTGAATGTTTGTGCTTGTTTATATGTTTCAATGTTAATTGGTTGTCTTAGATATCCGTTTAGACATATTTTGATATTCATACAATTATTTTATAATCAAAAGCTTTAAACGAATATCAAAATATGTTTAAATGCCTAATTATATTCCATAATATTAATTTAATTTTACTTTCTTTTTATTCCAAAAAAAAAAAAATACAAAAACAAAATCTGTTTTTTTTTATTATTTTGCATTAAATCATTTATGCGGTAACTTGAATGAAATTCTCAACTTTCGCCCAATTTCTCAATGTCAAATATGGATAAATTGGATACAATACAAATAAATTTAAACCTCCCTCAAAAAACCAAACAACAACATACATCACACATTTCATTGAATTGGCCAACAACAAAAAAATCCAAATTACAACAAATACAATAACAAAACCAAACCCAACCCAACAAAACAAATTCCTAACTAAAGTCTTTGGTCAAACTTCATTTTCATTAACGGTTGAAGGCATGGGTCCATATCCGTTAAGTGATAGCACCAATCTCTTGGGACCGACAACTAGTTTGGCCCCAAATGCATCGTGTTATACGAATTACGGTACCAACATCCATACACCAGTACCAATACGAAAATGTTACTATGATTATCATTATGATCGGGATAATTTTCGTCGTCATTCGGCTCATGGAAGAATGTGTACGTCATCAGGTAGAATTTAAATAAAAGAAAAAACAAAAGCCACTCTGTGTTATCACCAATTCTTTGGATATCTCTCTCTGTTACGATCACCAATACACATTAACACATCACCTAAAACACCACACACACACTCACCCACAAAGAGTTAAGAAAAAAACCAGAAACACCTCACCATTGTTGTTCACAATCGTTCGTTTGTGTGTGTTTTGTCTCCTTAAATGTAAAATACCATTGACAAAAACCCACTGTAGAATTCTCAAACCATCTATGGCCAATTAAATGGAAATAAAAACTGCAATCAATTGGACCAACGAAGATGTATATGATATATCTACTAATGCACCAGAATTTGAAAAAAAAACAATTATTCAAAATGTGTATAATAACAATAAAACTAATTGAAATACTGCTTATTATTTGAGCAAATTGGTCGCAAAAATCACCCAAATATAAAAAGCACACACAAGTATCTGCAAAACTAAATCGTATTTTTGCACAAAACGTGCAAAATATATACGACAATCGTTGGAAATATATTCTTCTCACACAAACAACTCAACTTTCTGCTTCTAACTCCAGATGATATATCTGAAGCGTACTGGTATGTCTTTGTGTATTTGTTTGAAACATGCGAAAGGAAAGAAGATGATCCCATCGTTACTTTTTAGAATATGCATAGAATTAGTTTCGGGGTGGATTTATTAATGTTCGTCTGTCTGTCTGTCTATGTATTATTGTAAACAAAGTGCAGGTCGCATTAATGATCCGAATTGAATGATTGAGAATGATTGTCCGATTGAGACCCAAATTGGTTCAGGGTTCCAAATTGAGGTTGGAATGACGTGTATTTTTCGAAATCAATTCAGATGTAAATCCACGCCTATTTTTGGTTTATGAAAAAATATTTTTAAAAAATTCACGCCTATTTTTGGCAAATTAAAAAATAATTTTAAAAAATCCACGCCTATTTTTGGTCCAAGAAAAATATATCTAAAAAATCCCCGCCTTTTTTGGTCAATGAAAAAATAATTTTAAAAAATCCCCGCCTTTTTTGGTCAATGAAAAAATAATTTTAAAAAATCCACGCCTATTTTTGGCCAATTAAAAAAATTATTTTAAAAAATTCACGCCTATTTTGGTCCAAGAAAATATATTTTAAAAAAATCCACGAATATTGTTACGACTCAAAAATTATTTTTAAAAAATCCTCGCTTATTGCTGGTCCACGAAAAAATCGCTAAAAATTTGAAAAAAAAAAATATTTAATTCTGGGGTTGGGGTCTGCAATAGCCCATCGTTTCGTTGAAATTAAAATATAATTTAGGAATATAGACGAGGACAATTACGAAAATTTCAGGTGCCGGTCGATTTTGGGTCCAAGTAAGATTTTCATTCGGAAGTGTCTTTTATTCGAAATTTTCAATTCTCAATGTGTTTGATATAATGTGCGGACCACTACAGGATATATTTTTAGAATATGAATTTCTTCTGTATTTCTGCCGGCAATATAGACCTCATGTCGAAGTTATGGCTTACAAGAACAATTTAAATGTAACTTCTTATATTCTCAAGTAGCAATTAAATATTGAATGTTTAATAATATCCACGTCGTGATATAAGATCTCCACAAGTTATTAAGATACTACTTATCGGGAGCTAGGCCCCATATATACATATTCTTTAATCGCAAACACTAAATATCATAAAAAATTTGAGTACGAAAATAGGATTGTAGAGGGTAAGACTATTTCTACTTGTTAATTAAGAACACATATACATATTTACACAACTAACTCTTTTAATTTTTGTGTAATATTGAACTCAGCTTTTAGCACCGCCAACAACAACTCAACAACACACCAACTCACCCAGTTTTATTGTGAACCAATGTCTACATTCAATAATGTCTGTAAATAATGAAATATCCATAAGAGAGTATACCGCAAAATGGAAAAAATAAATATTTCTCACCTCTCAGCTAACGCTTAGCTTTGCTATTTATTAGTCATTATTTTTTTGATTTTTCTATTTAAAACATTTAATTAACTTTTATTTTTTGGATGACAACAGCATGTCTTAGGAATGCATGAAAACCGCCAAATAATACTCGGCAAGTATGTAACAATATAGAGAGAAGCATGGATCTGCTTCTATTTTTCAAATACTCTTATAAATTTTTATACAATATTTTCCTGCTTATTTTTCCCATCTCTTGAAAGAAAGCACGCTTAAACTCAAATTTATCCCAATGACCAATACGACAATACAACCGAAAATAATTATTTGTTTTTTTCCTGCCGATTGAAATACTATCAAATTTCCTAAAATGTATTTTGTTCTATCATTTAACATACAGCTGCATCCGAGCGTTGTTTAGGAGACGGCCGAAATACACACCAGGGCCGGAACGCTGCCTCTGTGCCCCATCACCTTCGTCAGCAAGTACATGCCTACCAGAACAACGGGCCTTGACTGAGGAACGACTCACTTCCTGAAACTGCCAGTGTACATTCAACGAGCGCTGAACCTACCCAACAACAACAACCACAGCAGCAGTCACAATCCAAACTACAAAAACAGCATTCCAGTGAACAGCAACAACAGTCCGAACAACTCCACCATCATCACGTACACTATAGCTATGAAAAGGATATTGTAGGTGATGAATCTCAAATGCATCCGCACACGCACCACCAGCAGCCAACATCTAAGCACAACGAGCACTGGCAACAGAGCAACACCAACACTGCGACCACCACCACCTGCACCGCCGACTATTCACTGCCGTTCAATCAAAACGATTCACAAACGCCACAGCATCGTCATCATCAGCACATGCCACGGAAGCAATCCTCGGCGCATGGCCACAGCCACAGTCCACATCCTAGTCGACATACCTCGCCGCACAGCCGCCATACTTCTCCACACAGTCGTCACACTTCGCCACATAGCCGTCACACCTCTCCACACAGTCGACACACCTCACCGCATAGTCGTCACACCTCCCCACACAGTCGCCACACCTCTCCGCATAGTCGCCACACCTCGCCACATGGCGCCGGACACGGTCATAGCCACAGTCATGGCCATTCCCACTCCTCACCACATCAATCGACTCATCATCATTCATCGCGTGATCAGCATCAACACAATGGTACAGATGCCACCGAACCATTTGTTCGCAACAGTGCTTTGAGGGCATCAGTCAGGAGTACTTCTTCCCACATGCATGCTCGTAACCATTCCCATCACCACCATCGCCGACGTAAACCCATTACAAATGGAGGAGGTCATAACAATGCCGACATGCAGCATCACCACGAAATTCCCGCTCATTCCACTCTACGCACCCAGAGCACCACGCATTCAACACACACATGCACACGTCGCCATCGCTCTGTAACAGACTTATCCAATGCATCCCTTAATACCTGTAACGATCCCACATGCACCGACCGGGAGGTCCAAGAAATTTTCGTGCATAAATCCTCAGCCTGTTGCTCGGGTTCTAGGCCAGAGCTGGCCCAGTATTTTGCCGAGGATCTCTATGGTACATCATCGCGTAGACCATCGTCGTGCTGTACCTCCTCCGACTATTGCTATCAAACCGATTCGACCAGCCTCTATGGATCGCGTTCCTCTCTGAGTCGCAACAATTCGGTCAAGTCGGCTTCGGTTACTCTGAGAAAAAAGAAAATCAGCCAACAGCGCCAACCCAGCTATCACTCGATCTCCCTGCGGGCTCTTAACGCTGCCGATTCTCGGCCCGGCAGCAACATGGGCTCGCTGGCATCCATTTTCGATCGTGCCAAACAATATGCCGAAACCGGTGAGAAGCTACACGACTCTGCGTCCAAGGTAACTATAGAAAGACAAACTTCGAAAGATGCTTTAAGTAATGACCTACCTGAATATGCTTGTTCTCCCTCCCCGATAAGGTGGAGCTTCCTGGCTGATGGTAAAAATGACAAAGATGCTGGCGACTCTACGCTATCCAAAGGCGACACTGCTGAGAGGAATGGTACCAAATCAAAGCCACCAGAGCACAAACGAGTCGTAGACAAACCACATCATTCCTCCCAGCAATATCACTACCAACAACCCATAAAGCCAGAGCGTGGCCGCAAGGACCACCGTACATCCGAACAACCACAGAAGCCGCCTAGATCTCATTCTCAACACCGCAAATCAATTCCTTCAGATGAGATGAGGCCATCTACGTCAACGTCGTCACGAAAATGCTGTGACAGTCCATGCAAGTATGAAGAGTCCACCATGGTTCAGTTCCATCAGGATGCCGAAGCCTTTAACAACTGTTGCAGCAACTATATTCAGTGCAACACCTATCTAGATCAGGATCTACAAATTACCAGTGAGGATATACATCACTATCTGGCCAAGGGTCAACAGGATGTTGGCAACATATTGAACAACACCAAGACCTACCCCTTTCAGCCAAGCAATGCCCTCGAATTTCAGTATAAAAATAATTTTGCCAACAACAACACTGCCACCAATACCTTGTCTTCGGTGGAGGGGGCAGAGAGCATGCGCAGCTATGACAGTCGTTATAGACGTAACTCCAGCAAGGAGACAAATCTCAATCAAAATACTTCTGCGTCGGAGAGTTGTGGCGGTGGGGCAGGTTGTCCTGGATCTTCATCGAACACCAACAGTCAACAGCAGCCTTTGTCGCCGGCCAACATCAACCTATCTTCGAGCACCAATAATATAAACATCGTATTTAGCAGTTCCACGGAGCGCAATGCAAATGAGGTGAAGTTCATCAATACAACATCGCGCACTGCCACTTCCATGCTAACATCGGATAGTTCGTATCTGCCATATAGTTATCCCTCGTACGACTACACCAATATGTCGGCAAACTCAACCTTCGACAAACCGCTGGGCATCGATGAAATATCGGCGAACCTGACCAGGGGAGATGATGCGAACGGCGGTACGACATCATCAAGTCAACATTCCTCGTCGCTGCATTCGCCCGAGCCGCGAGGTGTTTCATTTGAATCGTTTGATGCTGCTTCAGGCCACAATTTGATTTCATCGCACCGGGGCAGCTGTCAGTATTCACCGACAACACCACGTTCCCCAATATCACCCGGTTCACCAGGCTGTTCGTCGACCTATTCGGCATCGATAAATCCCTCGACAACATCCTATGTGCATTTGCAGCAGCAACATCCACACTATGATTATCCGCCCGGTATTCAGCGGTCACATGTACATGCGCACACACACTCACATCATTCGCATCATCATTTACACGATCATCATTTGCGTGAAAGTTTCAAGATCAGTAATGCTTTGAAGAAAGTACGCAAGCGGGCACGTAAATATACCGATTTTTTGCGTAAGAAATAAGTGAACATGAGAGAGCCGGACAAAAGAAACAAAACGAGCATGATGAACGGAAAGTAGGGAGAGGGAGGTCGAGAGAGAACGAGAAGTGTAAGAAAAATCGGAAGAGATTTAAAATTTGTTCAAGCGTTGATGCAAATACAATTTCGGTGCATACTTTTAGGAGTTATATTTGATGAAAGTCCGGATGAAAGTATGGAACTACAACTTACTAGAAGTTAAACCCCGAGCACAATTTCGTGACAGTTGCCCCGCAAATAAAATACAAAATTAGAATAGTCATATTTTAATGTTTGCTTTGTTTCTGTACTTTTTCAAAAAATAGTAAAAGATAAAATTGCTCTAATAAAACGAATACTTTTCAAGAGTTAGGCGATTAGAAAAATAGTCAAATAGAAATCCTTAAAAATCGCCACAATAAACCACTGACATTCTCGGATACCACTGCCATAATTGAGTAGTAAAAGATACAATTTGTAGCTAGTTTCCGGAGTAAAGGTACACTTTTCTTTCAAAAATTGGAAACATTTTGATATATTACAGATTCTGGAAAATGAAATGTTTGGTTTTGATTTTCTTGCAGTAGATGCAGATTTTCGCTTACAAGTTTCAAAAATCCTGAAAATATTCCTGAATGATGTGCACAATAAATTTCGCTCGATTCTTGAGGAAAATTTACTCAAATCGTTGGAGGTACATTTAGATTAGTGTCAGATTTTCGCAATGAAACATTGAAAGTTATACAGATTTTCTACAAAAATTGAAAATATTGACGAGGATTTCAAAAGAGTTTAGAGTAATATGTAAATTTTCTTTATCGAACGACAGAAAAAATTGCGGACCTTTGCAAATATCAATACAGAGAATATGACTTCATTTTTGTAGGTCGACCTCGTTTTTCCGAAATGAAAATATACGACGTATGTGTTATGGATAATAAACTAATTTACTTATTTAGCTGACTCTAGAACACAGTCGGGCGAACCACCGCACGCGTGCACTCTCGCGAGAGTAAATATCACTATTCTCTTAAACATATTCAACTGAACCAATTGAAAAACCATTGACACACACACAAAGACATGTGCGTGAGAACAGAATTTTTTACGCTCTGCCCGTGCTGCTCTAGAAAAAAAACTTGTTCCATAAAAAGATTTTCAGGCGCGTCGGTATTTTGCGCATATTTCCAATTTGAAAGACCGGATTTCGAAATGTTGTCTTCCACTTGATTTTTCCATCAAGCTGGGCCATCCTCATCCATTCTCACAACATGGCCTAGCCACCTTAGACGCTGCAGGTCGATGTCCGAGAAAAAATGGTACATTTCATGGTTCATTCAACGTCGACGCAGATCGGAAAATGTTTCTCTCAAACACATGATTCAGATCGATACACCAGCACGAGTAATATTAGCGTCTTGTAGTGGTCAGACGAAATGTGGATTTGTTTCTGAATGGCTTACTTAGGCCATAGTATCTCAAAACTGATGTCTTTTGCTCTCTAGTTTTCAAATTCCACTGCTGGCCCGAGTCTACTGGACGTTGATCTTCTTGGCATTTACTGCCAGTCCCACTTTGGAAGACTCTTCTCAATTCGTTCAAAGATGGCGGTTACCGCTCGCAATGATGTCGATGCCATCAGTTTCGGCGAGTAAAATGTGCTCTATTAATTTTGCAGAACGCAGACATGGCTTTAAACACCTCTGATCGGATTGGGTTGTCGAATGCCGCTTTCGTAGAAGCAGGAGTTGGCGCAGTGTGAAAAATATGGTGTATGGTGGAATTACCAGGTCTGAATCTGAAATTGCACAAAACGTTGTACACCGTGCGTCATTTAAATGAAATGATGTCGATGTCATCAGTTTCGGCGAGTAAATGTGCTCTATTAATTTTGCAGGAATGCAGAACGCAGACATGGCTTTAAACACCTCTATATTGGGTTGTCAATGCCGCCAAATTGTAAAAATAGTTAGTGCATGTTCCTGAAATGGTAGCATCTGACCGATGGCTTCTTGAATAGTGACATACATCAAGCCAAATTGTATTAATCAGTTAGTGCATGTTCCTGATCAGCATCTGACCGATGGTCTTGAATAGTTCCGCTGGCAACCCATCGGTATATTCTTCAGCCGATTAATTGATATTCTGACCTCATTTTAGCGAGGTGGTACACAATCTATTCCGTCATCTCTAATTGGTTTTGGGGTATCTTCTGCACCGCCACTATTTGATACTAGAAGCCTTGCAAAGTGTTTTTTCCAGATTCCTAACACTCTATACAAGAGGATGTGCCTGCACCAAAGCCTTGCATTTCCAGACTTCATTCTGACTCTTGCCCATCTCGAGTTGATCAGGCTCACGTTTTTCTTGTTTTTCTTCATTTTTCTGATAATACGTTTTTTCTTTTCTTCCGATAATTATCCCTCGCATTATGTGTTGCTATTGTCTGCAGTGTTGTCCTATACGCTCCGTTTTTCACATCAGTAGCATTACGACACTCCTGATCGTACCATGGGTTTCTTGATGGTGGTCTTTGGTACCTAAGTGTTGCTTCTGCTGCAGTTTGTAGGGAGTAAACAATTCTTTGCCATTGTGCTTCTATCGCCCGGGCAAGAAGTGCATTCGACTAGCAAGTGAGTAAGTTGAGCGGAGTAGGCTTCTATATCCGTTGTGTTTGTAGTTTTTCGACGTCGATTTCCGTGTTGTGTTAGATTTTTTTGATCACATTTTGACCGTAATATCAGCGACAGGTAAGGTCATTGTGAAATGAACTAGTTCATTGGAACTATTCGAAGAAGGGAATATAGGAACTAGGCGAAGCTCTCGAGTTTGTGTACTTCGTTTAGTTTATCTAGCAACTTTATATTACATATATTAATCGGAAATGTAAAGAACGGAGGAACTAGTTACTTTCAACGAAAGGCGAGACGGACCCATGTTTTTTTTTAATCAAAGAAAAAAAATTGGCGGTTGGCAATGTTAATCATTTAGTTTGTTCCAAGTAGATTTGTTTACAACAATTTTTGAATATGATATCTCGCAAATGGCCGCCTCTGGCGTTGATGACTTATTGTGCCCTTTTTGCTGCATTTCCATCGTTTTTGCCAAGATTTCAAATGTTGTCCTTGAGCTCTTCTACGGTCCTTGGCTTGTTAACGTAAACCTTTGACTTCAAATATCCCCAAAAGAAGAAATCAGGCGGCGTCACATCGGGCGAAAGCGGTGGCCAGTTGGACTTCCTGCACTCTAATCAATGGCAACACAAATGAGCGTAAGAAATCATGCAAGTTTAGCCGAACGCTAGAGTACCAGAATATACATGATCTGTCTAAAACAAGTAATCCGAAGTGTTACAGCATAGTTGTGAAGGGTATAACAATAGCTGAGATGTATCACATTTCAATATATATTCTAGGGCAAGATGAAATCAAGATCAACATAATTTCTATGAAACCTCTGAGTCTAGCCTATTAAAATCCGAAACATTTTCTTACAGAAATATATAAAATAATTTGAGAATATTTCTGAGTACAGAAGCCAAAAACCATTTTACAAAAAGTAATCTATATTTGACCTGGCTCAAATAGTGCGAATGCCTTTGTAAACTATATTTCTCCTTTTTAAGATTTCTCTCCAGAATTGTTATTGTTTTTTTTTTCAAAAATGCAACTCAAGCTATTCATTATTGCTAAGGTAAGGTCTAATCTTGTAAATATATATGACGCCCAACAACAAATGACCCAAGAAATATTATTTTTCGAATGCATTATACGCTTTATACCTTATGCACCATTCACCAGGCTTTTGCTTTATGCCACGCTTGCGCATGAACATACATTTATTTACGTTGAAAGCACAAAACTCTCCTAAAATAAAACACAGAGAGAGAATTCACATATATTATTGTAATTGTTGCTGAAATATTTATTATAATATCATGTGTATCTCTTTTTATCTCTCCATATCTCTCTCTAACTATTCTCTCTCATTCTCGTTGCTCAAGGCTCAACAAATTTCTCACCTTATTTTGGGCGTAAATATGTGGTATTACATGTGAAGAATAAATCGCAAAGTTTGGAAAGAGGAAATCAGTAAATATAGCCTCTCTCTTTTTTCTGAGAAAAAAAATAATGGCAGTTACACTGAGAAAAAATGATAAGCATGTAATGACTAGTTTAAACTAAGCAATCAATTATATGAAAAAAGAAAAAAAAACAAATTGAAACTATCTAAACAAGCAATAAACACAAAAAGGAAACTATTTGAATAGATAAAAATTAAAACAAAAGAAAAAATACACTAATTACACTCAAAGAAATCACATGAATAATGTTAACATGTAAAAAAAGTAAATTATGTTATACACTGCCAAAAAAAGAAGAAACCCAACAAACAGAAATAATCGAAAACCCTTAAATGAAGAAAAACAAAACAAAAACTAGGTTATGTCCACGACCACAAAAATCCCCCATATAGTCATGGTAGTCAGTCATCTTTAATAGTAGCTCGTTGAAAAGGCTGTTGCATTGCTCCACTGCGTAATAAAAAAAGGAACCATTTCAAAATAGCTCACACCAACATACTTGTAAAATGGCACTTTAACAATTTTAATAACAACATGGTGCAAGAAATATATTCTAAACAAAAAATCAGACAACAAACTAAGACATCTCTCACACAACGACATCATATAAATAATACAAGAAAGTCAAAAGCAACAACAACAACAAAGTAATTATAAAATAATCCAACAAAACCAGATTTCAAAACCGAAACAAATTATCTATAAATAAATCCAAAATTGTAGTTTTAGCTTAGCAACCGAAAAGTAAAATACACTTAAAGAAATTACATTTAATTAGTTAAATAATAAAATAATATAGGCAAATTGTTTATAAACCAAAAAAAAAAAATAAATAAATAAAACAATACCCCTTACATTATAGGTATATAGCAATTCTAATGGATCCGTTCCCAAACCCCAATACAGAAAAAATGCACTTCACAACAACAATGAAAAAATCCCCCGACACAAAAA